GTGGTCGAGGGACGCGGGTTGGGTTCTGGCGCTGTAAAAGGAGGGGGTGGAGCAGGAGGAGCAGGAGGAGCAGGAGGAGGAGGACGAGGCGGAGGAGGACTCTGACTGACAAGTCGTACACTGGGCGGTGCGTGGGCGCGAGCACGTGCGGAAAATACAGCGTACTCTTCTAGCAGGGCGTACGCGTGGCACTAATGTTAAGTCGGGCCTGTCCCCCTACAGGGGGATTTTCGACGAAAAATAAAAAATACCCCAAACATAGTCCAAACATACTCCACAAATAGTCTGGGGACTATTTTTTGAGTATTTTTCGACCTTTTTGGGGTATTTTTGGGGCATTTTTTATTTTTCGTCGAACATCCCGCTGTGGGGGGACACGCCCGACAGAAGACTAGTGGAAGACGCGCTGTCGGCATGGGCGCTCCCAGAGTGCTGGCGGTGCAGGCTGTCTGCACCGCCGCTGTCCTGCTGCCGAGCATGCGCGCAGCGCGCTCGGACATCTCGAGAACGAGCCCCGGGAGCGGGCGGCCCGCTCGCCTCGCGTACCTCGCCGTGGCCGGCCTCCTATCACCAGCCTGGGACATGTCCCTATCCCTACGATTGGCATCGCCTCCTCTCGGTGCCGATCTTAGGGATTCCCTCCGTTTCTGTGCCCGGACAGAACACCTGGGCGACACAACCCGAAGGGAGGTGCCCAAGGTGCCTGCATGAATTCACATGCAGTCGGACCTCGCAACACGAACGGCGGCACGGACCGCCCCCGGCGTTATCCGCGCCGCCGTTGCGAGGTGCCTCGAGATGCCACCCCGAGACACGGCCACCGGCACCACCCCCACTTGGCCGCCGGCCTCAAGCAGCGGAGGCCCCGCTGCCCATTTCCCTCCGTTTCTGAGGGCGCATCCCTAGGATTGTCGTCGACGTTTGGCCTGTTAATCTTAGGGATAGGGATGGATACGTTCGAGGCTGGTTATCATGTCGGCGGCGAACGAAAAAAACATTGGTGGGGTGGATGAGCGGGATCTGCTTGAAGAATTTGGAGGGAACGTTGTAGCTGCCGAAGAAGTAACTGCGTACTGGCCGCCTCATATCCTGCTCTCGCCAGGACGTCCCGGTTGGAAATGCGTGATGTGTACGATGGCTTCACTGCGATGATTTGTCGCAAGCATCTGTTTTGAAAGCCGTCGAGGCGACGCAGCTGCGCTTTCGTGAAGCACGCACTGCTGAGCCCGTACAGCAATTTCGACTCGACGATGGAAGCGTCGATGCGGAGCTTGCGATTCCACGTCAGAGATGAATGGGTCCATACCCTGCGCAGAGCCGTGAAGGAACCTCTAGCTTCCCAATTTTTCTGCCCAGCTCGTGGCTCATGTTCGCGTCAGCCGTGAGCTGCGTGCCCAGGTACTGCATGTGCTCCACGTGCTTCAACTGCGAATCGCCGGGGGCGCGGATGTCGCCAGCCGACTGCACAGCTAAGGTCTCGAATTTCTGCCAGTGCATCTCCATGCCATAACGCTTGCCTGCATCGGCAATTGCTGCCAAGAAGTCGTTAAGTGTGCGTCGCACGTACCAATTCAGAGAGTGTCGTCGGCGTATACGCAATCAGATAGCTCGCCAGCGTCGTACGCCCGGCGGGCCACTACAGGGAGCAGCGCCATTGCGTCATGCAGTAAGGCGGAGGTAGAGGAGGAGGAGGAGGACGGGGCGGAGGAGGAGGCGGATGAGGAGGAGGAGGAATGCAGGAGACAAGTCGGCAGCGTTAGCGTCCAGAGGAACACTTACAGGAGAAGTTCTAATAGGAAAGAGAAGAGAAGGAAAACGAGGATAATGATGATCATGATGATGATGGTGATGATGGTGATGATGATGATGATGGAGGTGGTGGTGCTGATGATGATTACGATGATGGTTGTGATGATGCTGATGAGGATGATGATGCTGATGAGGATGATGGCGATAACGACGATGACGATGACGATGACGATGACGATGACGATGACGATGACGATGGTGATTATGATGATACTGCTGCTGATGATCATGATGTTGATGATGATGATGATGATGATGATAATGATGATGATGATGATGATGATCATGATGATGATGATGATGATGATGATGATGATGATGATGATGGTGATGATGGTGATGATGTTGATGCTGATGCTGATGCTGATGCTGATGATGATGATGATGTTGTTGGTGTTGGTGTTGTTGTTGTTGTTGTTGTTGTTGTTGTTGTTGTTGTTGTTGTTGTTGATGCTGATGATGGTCGTCAAGCCGTGGACGGGTGTCAAGTCCGCCGGTCAGGGACTCGCGCGTCTGGGGGGGTCTTCCCGCAGCGCCGCGCCCGAGCAGGCCTGTGCCAAGTTGCACGGGCAACCGCCCCTCTGTTTTCCTCGGGCGCCGTCGCGCTGCGCGCCGGCGCCCGTGCCGAGGCCAGCTGTGCCCCTCAGAGGCGACGACAGGGGGGAATAGCCCAGGGGCGAGCAATACATGT